GTGTAGCTCCTGAAGTCCTATCTCTTCATTAGGCAGAAGAGGAAATTGAGTAGGGCAGTGCCTGCTTTGGGTGGTCAGATGGGTTTGACCATTCTGGGCACTGGGTTACTCTCTCTTCCATCACATGTGTGGGCTCTAAGCCATTCAAGTTTTTGCTGACCTGCATATTGGAGATAATAGATGCCACTCAGCTGATAGATCTATGCTGAACAAAGAAAACTGCAGATTTGAGGCAACTGTGCAGATAATTCTGTTTCCCAAGATGCTAAAAATGTTCTAATGAAAAATACAAATAATTGAATCCTGGCCATTTTATTTGAGAAGTTTTAAAAATATATATATGGTTTTCTTATTCTCCATTTTACTATCCTAAGTGCTCAGTAAATGAAGATAGTGTTCTGATCTCCAGGGGATGGCCCTAATAAATAATTTAGCTGACAAATATAACAAAAAGAGAGAAAAGTGATCAAATTTACTATCACTGATAATAATTTCTCATGTCCTGAGAAGGAAGCAGCATCTCTCATGTACAACTCTTGCCAAAAATGCTTAACCTGAATCCAACGTGTAGGTGAATAACTTAGAGCACTCTACAAAATACCAAATCTGAATTCTTTAAAAGCATTAGTGTCATAAAAGTTTTTGAATAGGTGGAAGGGCTGTTTTAGACAAAAGGAGACTAAAGATAACTAACAGCTAACTCAGTGCCCTTTTCTTAAAGATATACAGGTGAGAAAAAGTAACTAAAAGATCAGAATGGGGCAATTAGGGGAATTTGAATATAGACCATATATGCAATAATGTGATTATATCAGTGTCAATCTCTGGAGTCTGACAGTGACGGTGCAGTGGTGTAGGACAGCATCCTTATTCCCAGGAGCTACATGTGCAAGGATAAAGGGGTGGTAAGATGATACCTACAGCTTACTTTCATGCTGTTCATCCAGAAAAAATGCGGAGTGTGTTTTCATGTGGGGAGATGGTGGGAGGCAAAAGAGAAACATGGAAAAATGTTGAGAGTTGGTTATTCCAGGTGAAAGATACAATGAATTTCCACTGTCCTTGAAATTTTTCAAAATAAAAGTTAGGGAGAAATATTGAAAACTCTGTGAGTTAGTGGGTTCCATACAAAGGATACATTAGAAATGAATAAAATAAGAGCCTTTGTATCCTGTCCAGTAATTATTTCTGGCCCTGGGCATGCATCAATTAACAAGGCTATGACAGCGCGTTGTGTAGCACTTGCTGGATGCTACCTGAGTGACAGGGTTAGTTGTGTGTGTGTCCCAAGTGAGTCTCTCTCCAGTTACTCCAGAGTTCAATTGTGGTAGCTACTCATCGTGAATGCTGTGGATGAGATGATCTAACCTCTAGAATTGCAGAACATGGAGGATCCCTGGTCACAAATAATTTGAACAGTACTCCACTAGGTCTACTTTAACAGGAAGCATGTTTTCTGCCTCCCAACAGAAAAATTCTCCCTTTCTGACTAGAAATAGAGTAATCTAGCATCCATACTCCAGTGTGCAATGCTGTGTGTGTGTCATAAATGAAAGAAGGGTTTCCAGTGCCTGCCTGCTGGGGGTTAGCCAGGGAGTTGCCCCAGAGAAGTTGACAATGGAATCCATGGAGGAGGAAGAAGGCAAAAGAAGCTCTGGCGAAACGTGGCAACAGAATAACGGAGAGCAGCCTCCAGCTAATCAATTTATCTAAAATACAAGATCTCTTATTCCCAGACTGTCTGCCTGGCTTTTTCCTCCTACCCAGCCCCCTTAGTAATTCCTGCCATTTTGCCTTTATTCATTGACAATAATCTAATGATGGTTTTATTCATATATGAGTCAAATATTTTGGTTCAGATAATGAGTTAAGTATTTGTGGGTTTTTTTTTTGGGGGGGGGGTTTCTCCGGTACCGGGAACCAAACTCACGACCTTGCGCTTGCCAGGCAGGCGCTTTTGCCACTGAGCTAAATCCCCAGCCCCTTTGTGGGTTATTTTTTGACAAGAATTATCATGGTTGGCTTAGGGCAGAAAAATCAAAACTCATCCTTTGGAAGAGGGACTGAGACTGCTGCCAGGTTCCCTGTAGGCATACAGCTTTTCAGAATCTTGTGGACACCAAAGAAAAAAGAAAAGGAGACAGCAGAGGGAAAGTTGGCTGGGTAGGTAGTCATCAGTGTTTGCTACCAGAAAAGAAATCAACTCTCTGATGATTTGTAAGTCAGCAAGGCGTTAGGAGGTGAAGGTTGGGAGAGAAAAATGATATTCGTAAACTTAGTTTATGGGGCTGAGCAACCACACACTGTGAGGCAGGAAATGCAATACAGACAGCAGACTTGGGAATAAAATAACTTAAGATTTAATTAAACTGAATTTGAGATGTCCTTGGAACATCAACATACAAATATGCAGCAAATATTTGAAATTCTAGGTAGAGCATTGGATTCGCTATGCAGAGACATGAAGGTCATCAGCATATGATAAATATTAACAACAGGGAGTGGTTAGATCACCCATGGGGGACAGTGGATAGAAGAGAAACCTACAAGGGAGACTAGGAAGGTTTTAAGGCAGCTGGGAGAAATATCAGCCAGCTTCCTGTCACTGGAACAAAATACCTGATACTTGTAACTTAAAGGAGGAGAGGGTTAACTTGGCTCATGGTTACAGAGGTTTTGGCCTTTCATCAGCCAGTTCCAAGATTCAAACTTCATGGTGGAAGGACATACAGAGGAAAGGTACCTCAATTCATGGCAGAGAGACAGGGAAAGAGCCACAGACGAGAGGTGACGGACTATAGATATTCCTGAAGGCCATGACCCACCCAGACACACCCAGGAATGTGCTTTCCTAGTCTCCTAGGTGACTATCAACTAAGTTGATAGGACAAACCATCACTAGCAGTGTCTTGGAACCTGAGAAAATATAGTGGAATAAAATGAGAGACATTGTCCAATAAAAAAGAGGTCCAGCTACTTTCAGCCTAAAGATGTCAGTGGATTTGCCAATATGAAACTAGTGACCCAGAGGAAGTAGAATGTGAAATCTGTGAACAGAGACTGGAATAAAAGGTAAGGAAGCAAAGAAAATGATGTAAAATAACATTTCGAGCCATTCTGACAAAAAGAGAAATGTGCATATTTTAGGTTAAGAGTAAAGGACCAGTGGAAAGAGATCAGCTGAAGACATCAGAGAAGGGGATGGATTATTTTAAGAAGTGTGGCAAACACCAATGTAGGTGAGACAGGCCCAGAGGGGCAGAGGTGAGGGGTGAGTAAAGCCAAGGTTTGGGTCAAGCAGAAATGATGTGAGACAGAGCAATGCGCAGGAGAAGCAGTCTTCAAGGACAGCAGTGGGGTAAATCTCCGCTTCACCAGTGACTGCACGCAAGGTGCACCACTAGGAAATTTTCAGTTGCAATGGTGGAAACCAAACTCAAATAGTTTAAAAAGAAAGACAGGAAGAAAGAAAGAAAGAAAGAAAGAAAGAAAGAAAGAAAGAGAGAGAGAGAGAGAGAGAGAAAGAAAGAAAGAAAGAAAGAAAGAAAGAAAGAAAGAAAGAAAGAAGGAAGGAAGGAA